TGTGTGTGTGTGTGTGTGTGTGTGTGTGTGTACCAGGGACTAACCTGTGAAAAGGTGTCGTCTTGATGCAGGTATGGACCAACCGAAGACGAAGCTGGAGGGATGTCATCACAGGTAAGTTGTCCAGTGAGTCTCCCTGGCCTCCACCATAGCCAGTCTCCCTGGCCTCCACCATAGCCAGTCTCCCTCCAACCTCCGCTGCAGTAGGCTGCAGCGCTAGGGCGTGGCCGAACACCTAACGCAGCGCCCAGCGCTGGAAGACTACCACTATCCTATCGTCGACTACAGCTACTGCTACTGAGTACCTCTTTGAATGCCTGCCCAATGCCTAGGCGGACCAGCTATATGTAGCGTTGGTCCGACTGGGAGGCCGCTCTCACCAGTGCCTAACGGTGCCGGTGTCTGGCGCCCAAACGCCAATCGGCCTGGCGCCTAAACTGGCGCCCAGGGCCTGTGTCCTCTGGGAATGGCGCCCAGGGCCTGAAACGACGCCCAGGGCCCGTTCCCCTGCTGCTGGCCAAACTGGGCCTCTAACCGATGGCCTAGCGCTAACGAACCAACTCTCCAGGGCCTAGTACTAATCTAGCCTAATCTAACCCGCTAACCCCTACTCCTACAGACCAGGCCCTGTGAAGGGCCCGTGTGGAACAGAGAATGCCACATTAGTGGTCTTCCAGCCTGCTGTGCCTGGTGGTCTACCTTCCTTCTAAAGATGAGCAGCAGTTAGCCTGGAAGATGCTACTTTTGCTTCCTTACCTACATACATGCTTTTGTGCAACCCTGTGCAATCAGACTTGACTTCAACTTCACTTTCAACTTGCATACATGCAGGTCGCGATGGCAGAACAACTTCCTCGAAGTAGGGTGCCCACAGTGTTATGGCCTTCAGACAAGGACTCGGCTCAAATCAACTTGTCACATCTTCTATGGCGTCTTAGCGCCAGTCTGAAATTCCCACCTGCACACTGTATCCACCATCAGAGTCACTCCACTCGCTCGCACACACATATACACACACTAGCATCTACCCTGAATGTCCGCACGCGCACACACACATGCCACACACATATCCTATCTGCTACACTGGCAGCTATGGCCGCCGTCGTCCCGCTCCTACTAGCAGCTATGGCCGCTGGCCCTCTTCCACATTTGGGCACTGGCTGACCACCGGCGAACTTCAACGCACAAGTCACTTGGGCAGCACTTCCACGCAGTCCGCCAGATAATGAGTGAATGGCTGGTCGCTGCCGCTTTATTTATACTGTTTCGTTAGGTGGTCTGGGCCTGCCAATGTCCCAGGCCAGTAGGATGTGCAGTCCCATTTGGTACTTGCTGACTAGACCAGGGACACTGGACCTTTCAGAGTCTGAGGGACTGACTCCTAAAGCTCCGAAGGGTCAGTTTGACACTTCTAGAACCTCCCAGACGACGACTGACTGACCCGAAGACCACTAGCCCGTAGGTCTACAGTTCAAGTCCACATAACCCAAACTACGCACACAAAACATTTGTACACGAGTTTGGGGACAGGTCGCGGGTTCAAAGCACATAGGGTCAACGGGCGACTAAACAGTGGGCTGGGGAAGGTGTGGGGATCGAGTCTTGGTGTCTGCAATATTGTGCGAAATGGGTGAAACCCTTTCACTCCCACTGTCCTAAATTCGAGGTCCTACGAGAACTCTTTATTCCAAGGCAGGACCCTTACCTTTTCTGGCTCTCTTGTAAGCATGTACTATGTCGGGAGCGGTTTCTAGAAGCTCGGTCCTTGTGAACCATCTGTCGTCCTCAGGTTCCTGGTAAGCAAACCGGACTTTGTACTGTTTCTGTGGATGACCTCTACCTCCAGTCGGGAATACATCTTCTGCTAGTATTTGGTCTATGTCGTAGGTGCCATCCATATCTGGCGGAATCATCGATCCGCGAAGGAAGCTGTTGATTGGTGACACAAGGTAGCAACTTCGATGCATGGAAGACCGGATATGTATGGAGGTGTGGCGGAATCTCTATCGTGTATGATGGTCCATCCTCTCCACCTTTGACTTCTAGGACAGGCCACTGGCCTCTATATGTGGGCAAAAACTTCTGCGAGATGTTTTCTTCTGGTGCAAATTCCTTTGACTTAAGCCAGACTAAGTCCCCTCTCTGAATTGCGAGGGTCTGCGATGCTTATTCGCTTGTTCAATCATGCGATGCTAGACTTTTCTAAGGTTTTCGATCACCTTCTGGACTTCCTTCTCGTGTTGCAGAGTGAACACTCTTGTATCGGGCGGTAACCTCTGAAGCTGGTTCCGATTTAGTCCTTCAAACGGCCTACATGGTCTAAATGGCTTATTCAGCTCGTTAGGAGTTCTACAAGTGGCTAGGTGTATGCGGTTGTTGTAGGCACTAGCTACTATGGGAAGCATCTCCTCCCAATTCACTTGATCTGGTCTAATATACATTTTGAGTAATTGCTGCAAGATCTTATTCATCGGTTCTGTTTGGCCGTTTGTCTTTGGATGACGACCAGATTACATCAACAACTTAGAACCGTAAGCTTTCAGAAGATCTTGCCAGTCCTGGCTGGTAAACCGTGTGTCTCTGTCACTAACTATTGACAGCGGTATGACATGATCACATACCCAGAAATCAAAGAACTTCTCTATAACTAAGTCGGTTCTTGCCTCTGCGGGCAAAGGCATAAAAACGACATACTTACTAAATCGATCTATCACGACCGTGACTTGACTTTTCCCATGCCAACTCCTAACCCCTGTATCCATAAGTCAATGGAAACAGACTCTCCGGGTCCTGTTGGGATAGGCAAGGGTCTAAGAAGACCTGTCTTGTTGAGTTGGCAAACTTTGCAGCCGCGGACGTACTCTATACAATCGACTTTCATGCCAGACCTTGTTTACGACATCGGTAGGTTGGCTAATGTCTTTTGCCAGCCAAAGGGTCCTTCTATATCATAGCATTCCCCTAAGATCAAACTACGGATCTCTTCACTATTGGGGACGCACAGTCGATCAACGACATTTGTAATCTCAAAGAGTAGCCCGTTCCTGGTCCAATAATCTGGTTCACTGTCAGGGGTTTCCTTAACTCTCCTTAGCAGATCACTATGGATCAGGTCCTGAGAATATGCATCCTTTATTCTTTGCTGTAAATCTGCCCCTATGTCTAGATAATGCACTATTGCCCCAAAGTAATCAGCTCTCCTACTCAGGGCATCGGCTACCACGTTATACTTACCTTTCACGGGCTTGAGCTCAAAGTCAAATTGGTCTATTTCTGCTGCCCGCCTAGTCAACTTGGGCGTCATCTTGGCTTGCGTCTTTAGCCATCTCAGAGTTTCATGATCTAAGTACACTTTAATGTGCCTCCCAAGAAGGTAATGTCTCCAATGATCTAAAGCTTGCCTGAGAGTGTAGAGTTCTCTTTCGTACGTCGAAGCTGCTACTTTTTCTGAAGGCAGACTAGCTGACATGAACTCTACGGGTCTATAGCCATCGCCGTCATTCTGCTGTAACAAAACGCCTATGCCATATTGGCTTGCGTTTGTCGTGACGACGAAGAGTAACTTGGGATCAGCTACCTCGAGGACAATATATTCTACCAAGGCCTTCTTTGACTTCCTTAAGGCCGAGGTACAGTCTTTGTCCCACTTCCAGATCGCTTCCTTCTTAAGGAGTCTGCGAAGGGGTGCAGTGATAGTAGAGAAGTTTCTTATGAACTTTTTGTAGTAGTTAGCCAACCCTAAAAACGATCGCAACTTAGTCAGAGTGCGAGGAACTGGCCAGTCTCTAATCGCTGCTATCTTGCAGTCCTCTGGTTTGTTGCCATCTGCATCTAATGGCCCAAGTACAAGACTTTTGTCTTGGTCCATTCGCACTTTTTCGCATTGATCTTGAAGTTAGTTTCTCTCAATTTCTCGAAGATTTTCCTCAAATGGCCCTCATGTTCCGGGAGCAGCACTGCATGAACGGCTTGTTCAGACCATGGCTAGATATACTATGACGAACCTATCTAGGCACAGTCTGAACAAGTCGTTCATGCAGGGCTGAAACATGGCTGGTGCATTGGTTAGTCCAAAAGGCATCACTATAAACTCCTAATGCTCATGTGTAGTCTCAATTTCTCGAAGATTTGCCTCAAATGACCCTCATGTTCCGGGAGCACCAATGCATGAACGACCTGTTCAGACCGTGGCTAGATATACTACGACGAACCTATC